GCTCGGCGGGCAGCGGCACCGTGAGGTAGGCCGGGGTGCTGTACGGGGAGGGGGGCACGCTGCCGCCTTCGTCCGCCTCCGCGAACTCCTCTGCAACCGGGAGAGGCCGGCGCTCGACTCCGGGGCTGCCCCTGGCCCCGGGGGCCCCTCCGGCAGCGAGACCACCGAGTCCCACTAGGCGTGGTTCTCGAGGCTTCCTCGCCCCCAAAGCCCCTTGCCCCCCTGGGAATGACCCCCACACCCCAGGGCCCGGCTGGGCCCCTTTCCAGGAACGCCTCCTACCCACTGGCCCGGTGAAATCCGGCTCCCTCCCCCCAACTCTGGGGTATGGCCCCCGCTTTGTCTTGGGCTCCCCTCCCCTCCCCTTTTAAAGGGGCCCTCACCCTCTTACCCATCTCATTGAGGCTGGCGAAGCCAGGGGCGATGGGTGTGTGTTTGGGGGATTTGCCCAGGTTGGGGGCGCTGGATGACCACTGTTTGCTTCCTTCCCCGAGGGCCTTCAGCCTGCAGGGGGCACCAGAGGTGGGGGGCGTCGTCAGCCTTCCGGCGGCCGCGGCCTGGGCGGGGGAACAGGGCTGGCGGGCCACAGCCAATACCTCTCCTCTCCTCCCGCCCGCTCCTTCTGCAGGGTGGAGCTGGGGCCCCAGGTCCGGCCTTTCTTCTTGCCCCCAACCAGTTCTTCCTTCTTTGGGGGCCCGCTGCGGCCCCACGTCACACTGCCAGCACTGCTGCTGCCACTGCTGCTGCCACCGCCACCATCCAAGGGAGTCACTGAGGGAGACAAACCAGTAAGTCATTGGGTCTTGGGGAGTCTGTCCCCGCTGGGCTCCCAGCCTCCTTCTCCCCACCTCTATCCTCCCTCCACCTGGAAGCCCAGGGGATCTTGGATTCTAACTCCAATCATGACCCTTCCCTGCTATAAATCCTTCCATAGCTCCCCACTGCTGTCAGGACAACGTCCCAGCTCCTCAGCCTGGCATTCAAGGCTGTTCCCTGCTGGCTTCCTCAGCCTCATCTCCCATCACTCCTCACAGCCTCAGCCTTCAACCGTCCACTCAGGTTGACTGAGCGCCTGCTGGGCCAGCCCTGTGGTGGGGCTGGGAAGACGGCAGGGGACAGAGCAGACAAAAATCCCGCCCTCGGGAGTTTACATCTTAGTGGGTGAAGGCAGGATCCTACTGGGTCAGCCATCTGTGTGGGGCATTAGAAAGTGAGCACGTGGGAGCAGGTGAGGGCTGTGGGTGAGGGAAGGCCTCCTGTGTGAGAGGGAGAAATCTGCAAAGACCTGAAGGAGGTGAGGGAGTGAGTCAGGTAGACAGCAGGGAGAGGAGCACTACAGGCAGAGGGAACGGCAGATGCCAGGGGCTGGGACGCGCCTGGAGAGCTCACAGCCAGCCAGGAGGCTGGTGTGGAGGGAGGGGGAGGAGACGGGGTCGGGACACGCAGGCAGGGGGCATCAGGTGCCATGGTTGGGACCCTGTCTGCTGGTTCCCAGGGGGACGCTTTCACATCTCCATGCCTTTGCACAGGCTGTTCCCTTCACCTGGATTCTGTTCCCTTTCAGTCCCTTTCCTGGCCTGGTTGGCGGCTTGCGCGTCAAGCCTCTAGCTCTGCAGCAGTTCATTCCCTGGAGTCCGTTGCTGTCTCTCCTGCTCCCACCACACTTTGAACAGACCCTGATACTAGTATTGACAACCACTGTATGGTTGTTGTTTGCCTTGTACCCTGCAACTCATCAGCAAACCCCGATGGCTGTCCCTCTGCCATGTGGTGCCCACTGTGGCCATCTCGCCCTCCAAGGCCCCCACTCTGGTCCAGCCCCCATCATCTCCCTTGTCTCCCACCCTCCTACAATCCGTACTCCTCACAGCGGCCGGCGGGGAAAGGTGAATCTGATCACGTCACTGCCTTGCTCACAGCCCTGCAGGGGCTCCCCCATCACATTTGAAATAAAATCCAGATTCCTTATCCTGCCTCTCCAGGCCCGGCGAGATCCTTGACCACAAGCTACCGCTCCCTCCCATTCACTCTCCTCCAGCCGAGCCGGCCTTCCGGGCTGATAAACACGCCACGCTTGTTCCCACCTCTGGGCCTTTGCCTCGGCTGTTCCTTCTGCCAGGGACACTCTGCCTTCAGATCTCCGCATGTCTCCCTTCTTGTTGCCACGCAGGCCCCTGCTCAAAGCTCAGCTCTTCACACAGGCCTTCCTGATGTGAACAGCAGCTTCTCTCCGCTTTCTCCTCCCAGATTTCCTTCACAGTGCTTATCCTGCTCACTGACTTGTTTCCCGGTTCACATCTGTTCCCCCAGGTAAGAATAAGGGAGGGGACCCTGCCTGTCTTGTTCCCGGTTGTTCCTCCAGCTCGGTGCAAGGTATGTGCTCAGAGAGGTTTGCTGACTGACTGACTGGCTGGCCAGGGCCTTGGGAGGTACTCACGGCGAATGGCCCTCAGCCGGGGGATGATGCTGGGGCTCGCGGGGGGGCTGGCCCCATCAGATCCTTTCCGCTTCTCCAGGGTCGGAGAGGCCTGGACTGTGATCTTATGCTCGAAGCCTGCAAAAGGGAAGAGACTTTCCTAAGCAGACGGTTCCATGGGTAACCAAAGAGAAGTTCCCTTTATGGAAGGAATGGGAACGCCACCATTTTGCTTTCCTTAAGGCAGTGGTTCTCAAAGTGTGGTCCCCAGGCCAGCAGCGTCAACATGACGGGGAAACCTCTTGGAAATGCACACTCTCGGGCCCTCCCTGAATCGGAACCCTGGGGGATAAGGGGCAGCAATGTGGCTGTAACAAGCCCTCCAGGTACCCCTGAAGCACACGAGTTATGCGAGTCAGGATCCTAACGGCTCCCTAATTAACTAAGGATTGACTAAGGGTCTAGGTCTGAGCATCCAGGAAGGTGGCCATTAGCCACACATGGCAGCTGAGCACTTGAAATGTGGCTCGTGACTGAGGGGCTGGGGGGGTCCAACCTTTATTTATTTAATGGTAATTAATCTAAGTTTACATTTAAAAACAATACTCAGTTCACTTCTTGGAAACATTTAAGCATGTCTGGAACAAGCTGGGTATGTGAATCTACTTTTTCAACTGTGAATTTTATGAAATCTAAATACAGGTCAAGTATTTTTGATGAAAATTTGCCACCCGGATTGAGAGGCACTGTAAATATAAAATACACACTGGATTTCAAAGATTTAGTGTGAAAAAAGAAGGTAAAATATGTCATTAACAATTTTTCTTGTATTGATTACAGGTGAAACCATAACATATTGGGCTAAATAAATTATTAAAATTAATTTCACCCATTTCTTTTTCTCTTTTTTAATGTGGCTACTAGAAAATTTAAAATTACCCATGTGGCTTGCATTATATTTCTTTGGCCAGTGCTGTTCTAGGCACTGCTCTGTGGCTTGTAGCATCACAGAGAGAGAGACAACCAGCCCTCTGTGCCTGCTGACATTCCTAGGAAGCAGCCTTTGGGGACAAAAAACAATCAAACCTGAACTTGAAACTGACTAAGCCTTGAGATCCAGCCTAATGGCTGATCCATGTGAAACTTCTGTTTTTGTAGGTCAAAAATGGCTGATCACCAGCAACTTCACATGGTTTAACCTAATACCAATTTATAGGCCATTCAGGGGACAGAGGGACATGTTCAGCAATTCCAGGGGGATGCGAGCCGCACAGCCCAGGCTGTGGAGACGCCACAGGGTAAGTGGTGCAGCCCCTCCGCCAATCATTGGCAAGGGGGACGAGAGGCAGATCAGGAGATATTAAAGAAAGAGTTGGGGGACAAAACTATATAGAAAAATAAGGAAAGGACTGCCCTAAAAGTCAAGACAGGGGTTACCCTCAGGGGCTGTCAGGGGGCTGTCTGGAGCGGGCATGTGGAGGGCGTCTGGGTGGGTGCAAGTTTTCTCTGCTTTCACGGGGTGATTATCCTAACTCGTTAAGCGGCACGGTGTTTTGGTTGTTTTCCATGTCTGATCTATTTAGCAATAAAAAAGCTTAAAAAGTAAACGGGAGAGGTCAAGCCCGGGTTGGGGGTGCCCCCAGCAGCCCGCTGGGGGGCGCTCAAGGGCCGCGGCGGTACCGGAGGGCAGGCTGATGCGGCTGCCGCCTTCCCGCAGCTTGAGCAGGCGGCTGCGCGGGAAGTTGCCCTTGCGTTTGCGGACCCGCGGCTTCTCCTGGCTCAGCTGGCACATGAGCAGGTGCAGCTCCCGCTCCACGATGTCCATCTCGCGCTCGGCCAGCTCCTGCTCCCGCCGCCGCAGCTGCTCCTCCTGGCAGCGCTGCTCCTGCGCCGCCCGCAGCAGCTCCTCCTCGCGGCTCCGCAGCTCCTGCAGGGGAGGCGCCGGCTGGGGGAGGGGCCCGGCGACGCCGCCCCCGGGGACGGACCCGGGGCCCTGCACAGGGGCGGCCTGCGGTGGGGCAAATTGGGGTACACTCCACTCACACTGCACTAGCCAAGCTGGGTGCCAGGGCAGGGGACTGTTAGCCCAAAGAAAGGGCTGCCTTTTCTCCCCCGCCCCCCATTTTAAACTTTCTAACTCTTCAATTTGGAAAACTTCAAACATCTACAAAAGCAGAACAGTGCACCCCCATGTACCCAGCATCAGACTTCAATAATTATCTATACTTTGCAAATCCTTTTTCCTGTATCCCGTCCTTCTCTCCTCTCTCCTTCGCATTTTTAAAGCCAGTCCCAGATCTCACCCAGTATCACCTGTAAGCCCTTCAGTGCAGGGTGCCTTTTTCTTATCAATCCCCAAAAGGAGGTTGTCTCCTTCTAATATGCAAAAAAGGCTCCCTTCGCCCTGCATGGACCCAAAGACAGGGCCTCAGGGTAGGGACTCTGCCCCACTCAAGGCGTCAGCACTCAGGGATCTCGCTCAGTCCCCCCCACCTTGCCCCGGCCTTCACCTTCTCCTTGGTCCGGAGGTCATCAAACATGTGCTGGATCTCCAGCTTCCAGTCTTCCTGCAGCGAGTGGAAGGACTCCAGCGGCATCTGGAACAGGGCTGACTGTTCGATGACTTCCAGCTGCTTCAAGATGCTGCCGAAATCTGGCCGCCCGTGGGGGTCCGGGTCCCAGCATTCTGGGGTCGGGTGGGGGGACAGCAGTGGGAGTGGCGACATCAGTGGCCACGGTCCAGGCATCAGCCTGCTCAGTGGGAGGCAGGACTACAAGGGACTCCCATGGAGCCGAGGGGAAGGAATTCAAAGCCAAATTCCTGGCAATATTTCACTCAGTGAAATTCTGGGAGAGAAACCTGGGGACGTGCTCCCTGACTGGTGGTAGGGTCGAGGACTGGGGAGGAATCTCTGGGCCTAGGAATCCTGACAGGGTGCCCTCAAGAGCTGAGGGCCTGGCAGAACAAGGGTCTGGGGGCCATGGAGCCTACTGCGGAGGAGGCTGTTCACAGTCCCATGGTCCCGGCCCCTTCTCCCTCACTCACTGGCAGGGATGGGTGTGAGGGGCGAGGTCTGGGCCCGAGGGCCCCTCCACCCCAAGCTGAGCCTACCCTCTCCACGGGGCCCTGGCTCACCCTCCAGTAGGCGGGCAAAGGGCTCGGGGCAGGTGGAGGGGATGGGCAGCGTCAGCTTGTTCATAGCCACGCCGTATGCCACGGCCAAGGCGTCGATTTCCCGGTAGGGGACTTCCCCCGTCAGCAGCTCCCAAAGCAGCACCCCGAAGCTGCAGGTGGGGCAGAGGGAGGGTGATGCCACAGTCCACCCCAATCCTCACCTATGCCCCAGCCCTGCCTCCGGTCCCACAGGGGGCCTCCCTCACCCCCACAGCCAGCCCTGGCCGACCAGGCCACGAGATCCTGATCTGACCTCCATCAGCCTGACCTCCATCAGCCTGACCTCAAGTGGACGTGGTGGGGCTGGCTCTCGGATGCCTCACCTGTGCTCTGCCTCTCTTCCCTCACTCCTGCCTGAACACCCTCAGGGGTCCCCTGTGCCCACTGGGCAAATCCACCCTCCTCAGCCCTGACCCTCGCTAACCCCTGCAGCCTCGCCTCTACGCATTCTCAGCCCCCGTGCCAACTCCAGCTTTACGTTGCAGCCACACTGAACAGTTGAACAAGCCCTGTTCTTCCTGACCTCTGGCTTTTGCACATGCTGTTCCCTTTGTTGAGAACACTCTTCCCTTTTCTTAACTGTCCTTTTAAGTCACAACTCAGGTGCCCCCTCTGCCAGGAAGCTTTCCTTGATTCCACAGCCTCCAAAGCTGGGTTAGAGGCCCCTACTCTATGTTCTCATGGAACCCTGGGCACTTACCTCTAAAAACAAGTTAACACTACTCAACGTTTATAAAGCACTCACTCCAGGCCAGCACTGTGCTAGGCACTCTCCATAATCCTCACAACAGCCCTGTAAGGCAGAGGGTATGGGTATGACCTCCATTTTATCTGATGAGCAGATGCAGGCTCAGAGAGGTTAAGTCACCTGCCTAAGGTCACACAGCTGGTAAGTGGTAGAGCCACACTCGGACTGAGGTCTCCCTGATGCCCACGACAGTGTCCTTAACGGCTACACAACACCAGAGCATGCATCACTGGGCTATAATCCCCTGCGTGTCCATCTTCTCCAGTGGACTGTGCTGCCTCTGGACCCTGCTCACCGTTTCGTGCCATGCCGCGCAGGCAGCAGATCCCTGCTCCCCATATCCACACACGCCTTCCTTCAACATAACCTATCAAATGTCTGCCGTCTGCCAGACACTGTTCCCAGCAATGGAACAAGAGAGACACAACCCCTGCCCTCACGCAGCCGACAGCCTCCCCTTCTTGCTCAGAGACGGCACTGCTGAGTCTGAGCTGGGCATACGCTGCCTGAAATGATTTCCCATCCTCCTTTGCAGCTAAGTATGCCCACATGGCAATGGTTCTGGCCAGCGGGATGTAGGAAGGTGTGTCGTGTGCAACTAACTTCCAGAAGGTGTCCTTAAAGGGAAAGGGTGCCCCTTTCCTCTTTTCTCCTTCCTACTGGTTGGAATGTGGATGTAAAAGCTGGAGCTCAAGCAGCCATTTTGGATGATGAAGTGAACTTGGGGATGGAGCCCACACGAGGTGGAAGAAAATAACAGTGGCTTTCAACTGGAGATGGCATGATCCCTTGCCACCCCCCGGCCCCAATACACATCCCTGGAAACCTGTGGGGATGTTCGATTGTCACAATAGTGCTACTGACATTCGGTGGCTGAGAACCATGCATACTTAGTGTCTCGAAAAGTCCAGGACAGTACCACACAAGGAAGAATTATCCTGCCCAGTGTCAATGACACCCCCGTTAAGGAACCCTGACATAAGACCCTGAATTAGGGTTAGGGGAATGCTAGGGGCACCATATCAGTTCTCGCTTTACATGAGAGCAAATACTTCTGTCTTGTTTTTGAGTTTCCTGTTCCTGCTGCTGAAATATGGCTCCACTAAACATTTGGGACCATAAATGAAGGTCTGATGTGAAGCCAGTCAGAACTTCCCCCAAAGGGCTGTGCTGCTCTAGTTGAGACTTCCTGTCCGATCCGTCTGCCCAACAGCCAGGACTTTGCTGCCCGGTCCACCTGGAGCCTCAGCTGGGGACTGGCCTGGGCCTGGCTCCTCCCCAGGAAAAGGCCCCGGGTTGAAGACTTTCTGCCCCCACCATCAAGTCGCGCTGGCAATGGTAACAACCTCCTCGCTGGCCTCCCGCCCTCCTGTCCCCTGTGATCCATCAGCCGAGGGAGCCCCTGCATCGCAAAATCAGATCACGTCCCTCATAGACGCCTCGGAGGGCTCTCCCCCTGCACCCTCCAGCTCACTCCTACCTCATTTCCTGCCACTCTCCTCCCTGCCTGCTCGGCTCCCGCCACCCAGGCCTCGCAGCTGTTTCTGGAACATGCCGAGCTCGCTCTCACCTCAGTGCCTCCTTCGTGGGAGCTGTGCCCCCTGCCTGGGAAGCTTCGTCCCCCAAACTCTGCCTGGCTGGCTCCTCCCAGCCATTCGGAACTCAGTGTCACAACAGCACAAGTGCCACCTCTCAGAAAAGCCTTCCCAACGCCGTCCCCCAGCCCTCAGAGTGCTTCCCATCCAGCGCCTGGCTCTAACACTATCTAATGCTTTCTCTGGTGGGTTGATAAAAATTATTTTACAATTTTCTTAACTTGAAAATAGCTTTTTTCAGCTTCTTGTGTATTTATTTATTTATGTACTATCTCTGCAGGCAGAAAACATGTCCGTCTATTTTTATTTACTGCTATATCCCCAGCACCCAGAGCAGTGGATGGATGGATGGAGGAATGAATGAATGAATGAATGGTTGCCGCCAAAGGCCTCAATTTCCTGTGTGACAAGCGGGGACAGTGTACTGGTGCCCCAGGGGCCTTTAGTGCTCACATCCTATCTCTACGCCTCTGGGATTTTTACTGGAATCCACTTCCACTGGCAGAGCGGACACCTGCTTTGGCGCCTTTCTGATGGTCTGACCTCGCCGGCGGCCCCTTTGCCAGGCCTGGATCCTGGCTTCAGTGGGAGACTGTCCCTCCCCTCTGCCCTCCCTCCCCCATTCCCAGGAGGCCTCCCCGGCCCCACCGTCAGCACCTCCAGACGTCACTGCTTTTGGAGAAGAGGGAGAGACGGATGACCTCCGGAGCCATCCAGGCGTAAGTCCCCGCGGCGCTCATTTTGGTGGTCTTGTGCCACTCGCGGGCGAGGCCGAAGTCTGTGATCTTGAGCACCGTGTCTGCGAGGTTGTGGTTCTCGATGGCCTCCAGAATAAGGACTGTGGGGTGGGAAGAAAGGTGGGTGGGTCACCCCAGACCTGCTGGGCTGCAGACCCGAGTGTCCTGGCCTCGGCTGGAACCTCCTACTGTTCTCTCCCCGACCCCCAGCCGCCCGCCTCTGCAGTGGCCCCTTTCCTGGCTTGGAATACCATGAACCCTCCCAGGCCCCAGGTTCCCAGGAGGGGGTCAGGAGCTTACCCTGGGTCCCCTGCCCTCCCGACACTGAGCTCTGGGGGGCTCAGTGAAAGGTCAATGGCCAAGGGCTTGGTTCTCCTTGAATTCCCAACCACCCCAGACGTGGGAAATACAAATCAGGAGCAGAGGAGATGGACGTGGTTTCCCTTATCTCTGTCACCCACTGTGGTATACTGCCTTCTGGGCCCCCATTCTACTCCTTTCCATGTCACACTTTTTGGTGAGGAAGATTGGCCCTGAGCTAACATCCGTTGCCAATCTTCCTCTTTTTGCTGAGGAAGATTAGCCCTGAGCTAACATCTATGCCCATCTTCCTCTACTTTATATGGGACGCCACCACAGCATGGCTTGATAAGCGGTGCGTAGGTCCACGCCCAGGATCCGAACCTGCAAACCCTGGGCCGCCAAAGCAGAGCACGTGAACTTAACCTCTATGCCACCAGGCCAGCCCCATCCATGTCACACTCTTTGCCACGGGATTCACAGTTCTTGCCACTAAAGAGGCAGTGTATGTCCCCATCTTTACTCTGGCTTGCCCATATGACTGGCTGTGGCCAATAGAATGAGGCAGAAGTGAGAGCACCAGTTTCAAACCTAGGCCTTAAGAGGCCTCGCATATCTGCTTGCCCTCTGCGTTTCTGCCGTCACCATGAGAACGTGCCTCTGCGAGCCTGTTGTCCAAGGAAGATAGGAGATGCCTGGAGCAAAGCCCCTCCAGCTGAGCCCAGCCTAAATTGGTTTACCCTCCAGCTGGCCAGCAAATCCATGTGCACTAATAAATGATTGGGGCTGTAAGACACCAAGTTTTGGGGGTGGTTTAGTTACACAGCAGCATTGTGACAAATGACTAATATATCTCACTGATATATCCCCCAAGCATATTGAGTAGTTCCAACTTACCTGCTGCCTGGGGTTATCAGTAACAACAATAATAATCATGGCTCGTGTTTGTCAGGCACTATTTCATGCCAGGCACTGTGCTGAGCCTTTTACATGAATTAACTAGCAAGTAACCCATTTTATTGACTAGTAAACTGAGGCTCAGAGATGATGTCACCTGGCCACGATCACACAGCTAGAAACTGGTGGGGCGTAGCCCTGACCCAGATCTGTCGTCAGAGCCAGTCTCTTAACTGCTACGATATTCCACCACCTTCTATCCAACAGGGGCCCCAAAGTGTGCGGCGTCCCGCCTGGGGTTGAATCCCAGCTCTGCCACTTATTAGCTTCATAACCTTGTATAATTTACTTTATTTCTCTTAACACTAAGATTTCTCCTCTGTTAACTGGAGAGGATAAGAGTATTTACCTTATAGGGCTGTAGGGAAGATCTACTGCCTGAGGCAACAGCAGGCCCTTTAAAAGCCTTAGCTATTGTTAGTGTGCTACATCGCCATAATTGTCCCTCATTTCTCCACCTTCATCCTTGACCATTCTTGGCTACTTCTCCAGTCACAACAACGACAATAACATAGAACAATAATTCCACTATCATGCCCCTTTGGCGGATGAAGAAACAGAGGGTTAGAGAGATCAGTACGTTGCCCAAGGTCACTTAGTGGTATTCTCATCCATTCTTTAAAAACTGACTCAAATGCCACCTCCTCCTGGAAGCCTCCCGTGACTCTCTAGCCTGTGACTCCATGTCCCAGAACTCCTCCTTTCTTGGGTGCCCCCCTCTCCTGTTTGTGGAGTGGAGTGATCCTGTGACAGAAGGAACACCCTATGGTCTTACACTTTATTTCTGCATCTCCCAGGCTGGGCCTAAATCAATGCCCTGTAAAGGTATATATCTGATCATGTCACCACCTGCTTAAAACCCTCCAATGGCTTCCAGTACATTGAACAAAATACCCCAAGTCCTCTCCATGGACCCCAAGGTGAGCTGGCCCCTGCCTACCTTTCCGACCTCATCTCCTTCCACCTCTGCCTCACTCCCGCTCTTCCCACCCCTCTGGTCTCCTGGCTGTGTCTCCAACAAGGCCCGCTCATTCCTGCCTCAGGACCTTGGCTCTGCCCAGCCCTTTGTAAGGCTGGTCCTCTTTGCTGAGTTCTCTGCTCTAATGTTGCCTTCCCTGACCATCTAATCTAAGAGCTCCTCTGCCCCATCCTCGATCTGCTTTATTTCCTTCCAAGTCCCTGGTACTCTGAAACTTTGTTGTCTATCTAAATACGCATCATCTATTTCTGTCCACTAGACTATAACTTCCACAAGGGAGGAATCTTGCCTTGTTCACTCTGTAATCCCAGAGCCCAGGACAGTGCCTAGCACACTGACTTCTGCTTAAGAATTACTGGTTGAATTAACCAGTGAATGAGTGACGTCAGATGTGGAGCCCCTTGGGGAAGGATGAATGTGGAGGCCCTGTGTCCTCTGTTGCAGGCATGGAGCAGTCCCATTGCCCGAGCAGGAAGCCTTGGCCAAAAGAGCCCCAAGAACCCTTCGTCCAGGCGGCACTGGTGACAGAAAAACTTGGGGGCGTGTCCTCATCCACCACCTGCAGGCTGTGAATCAGCGGGGGTGAGGGAAGGACTGAGAAGGGGCCCTAGCCTTCAAGGGGAGCTGCCGGCAGTCCCGCCTCCATCCGCCCAGCACTTCAGGGGAGTTCGAGCACGAGCATCCATGAAGGCAGGGACCGTCTGTGTCTGTCTTGCTCAATTCCCAGCCCCGGCACAGGGCTTGGCCCAACGGGGGCACCTGGCAGCTGTGTGCACGAGTGGCAGGCCTGGAAGGTAAGGAGGACTCACCCCTCTGTCTAGGGGCTGGCAATTGGTGGTGGGGGGGAGGCACAGCAACAAACCTAAAAATAGTGGGATGGATTCAAACAAATTTCAAGACGTAGAATTGACAGGAACCAGAAATGGATGAGACGTGAGGGTTGAGGGCAAAGAGAAAACGCTCACATTTCATGAGAGGGCAGGGAACATCATGTTAGCCTCATTCACTGTTGATCCTCCTTGCTTAGCACATGAGCTGGCCCGGGAAATACCAAACAAAAGAATGAAGACACAAACACAGAAATGAAAGGGAGTAAGGTGGGGCAGAGGAAGGATGGGAGAGCCAGAAGGTAGGATTTCCACCTGCTGAATCCCTCTGGGCTCAGGACAGGGTCTGGCACACAACAGGCGCTCTGGAAATATCTGGGGAATGAATGAAATCTCTAGTTTGTGGGCACCAGAAGGGCAGAAACCACGGCTGCCTTGGTCCCTGTTGGGCTCCTATTAAATAGGTGCTCAATTAATATTTGCTGACATCATGAGAAGCTCCTTGATCTAGATGTGCTTCCTGGGGAACACTCCCTTCCATCTGGCCCCAGTCCCCATTCAACCAACCAATCAACTCTTGAGAGGCTGGGATAGGCCGGGCAGCCTGGAAGCTTTTACATAAGCCACATCCCTTTTCCTCCTCCCTCCTCTTTTCCAGTTTGCCTCGGCCAGCTGGGGCAGAGGCCTAGAAGGACTCCAGGAAGTGGTTCTTAACTGGGGGCGATTTTGCCCCCTAGGGGACATTTGGCAATGTCTGGGGACATTTTTGGTTGTCATAACTGGCGGTGGCAGGTGGGGAACACTACTGGCATCTAGTGGGTAGAGGCCAAGGATGCTGCTAAACAAACTACAATGCATAGGACAGCCCCCTACGATCATCCGGCCCCAAAAGTCAATAGTGCCGAGGTTGAGAAACCCTGACTCTGGGCTAGGTTCTTTCCGTCCCCGCCTGGTGGACTCTGGCGTCATGCGTGGACGGTGAGCGCCATGAGGGCGGGCACTGCATCTGTCCTGTTCATGGCAGGGAACGCAGGGCCTGTCACAGTGTTCATGCATACTTATTTACTGGGCTGCTGTGACTCTGCAGCCTGGAAGGCAAGTAGTCAGTAGTCCTTCAACCTTTCTGAGCCTCCTTTTTCCACCCGGCCCTGAAGGCATTCTGCTGCCCCTACTTGCCCCAGGCAGTGTCATCTGGTGTCCCTATTTCCCACCACCTAGGCTTGGCCTCACAAGGTTCTGCGGAAGCAAGTTTTGGGGGGATGACACCACTTACTGTTGATGGACTTGAGGTCCCGGTGGATGATGGGCACAGGGGCATCATTGTGTAGGTAGTTCATGCCCCGGGCCACCTGCACAGCCCAGTTGACCAGCACGTGAGGGGGCACCCGGCGACCCGCCAGCACCCTGCTCAGTGCGCCCCCCCTGGCATACTCCATCACCAGGCAGAGGTGTGGGGGGCTAAGGCAGGCGCCTCGGAGGGCAATGATGTTGGGGTGCTGCAGGGCTCCGAAGAGCCGGGCCTCCTGGCGCACCTGCTCTGCTGTCACTGCTGGGTCCCGCTCAGGGTCCAGCCGGGCGGCCTTGACAGCCACCTCCTCGCCACGCCATAGGGCCCGATAGACCTTGCCAAAGCCCCCAACACCGATGATCTCCTCTAGCTGCAGCTCGTGGAAGGGGATCTCTTGGGGCAGCTGGAGGCCCGCGGGCGCGGCGGGGGGGCCGGGGGCCACGTAGTTGCTGGGGAAGACGCCCACGCGGCCGCTGGGTAGCTGCCCGGTCCACCAGCCTTCGTCGCCGGACACGGCCCAGTCCTGGGACAGCACCTGGACGCGGTCGCCCCTCCGCAGGGTCAGCTCCTCGTCGCCCGCCGCCTCGTAGTCGAACACCGCGGTCCAGACGTGCCCCGCGGGGGTCGTGCCCCACTCCTTGGCCGCCCCCCCCACCTCCTCCTCCATGGGGGAGGGGCCGGGGGCTGCGGGAGGCCGCTTCACACAGGCTGCCCGCGGGAGGCAGAGGGCGGGCCCCGGCGGCCAGGATGGAGAGAAGTCCCTGCGGGTCCTAGGGGGCTCCTGGGGGCCATGGCTGGGGCGGCCCTCCGCAGGAGCAAGAAAAAGTCTCTTTAAAAGGGCAGGGTCGTTCCCTCAGATTCAGCTGTCCAGGTGGGGCTGGGTGGGGGTAGGGCGGCGGGTTCACCAGTCGCCCCCAAATGTCAGGGCGCTAAGAAGGCCTGGCCGCGCGGCTCCCGAATTCCTGCCGGGGCCCGCCGGTGGGGGACGAGGGCGAGGGAAGCAGGCAGCCCCCTTCCCCGCGCCTCTCACCCCGCGCAGCTCC